GCAGCGGCTGTGAGGGGGAACGTTCTCCTTCACAGCTGCTGCTGAGCTATGTCAGTGACAGCCAGCACACGAGACGCCATAGCGACCCAGGCAGCCCACACGGCATCAGAGGGATGTCTGGCCGGGCCCCCCTGTGCACGGGCCCCATAGCGGCCGACTGGGTCGCTATGGCGATTGTTACGCCACTGGTTTGGTGGTTGTACTATTCGGACCTTAAAAAAAAAGCCGGCTTCCCAGCCAATCAGGAAGCCGAGCAATGACCCACCTCCCGGCTTCTTGATTGGCCGGGAAGCCGGCTCAAAGCTGATCTGCTGGGAAGCCAGCTTACTGGTCAAACAGCATGTAGCCGGCTTCCCAGGCAATCAAGACAGGCGGTGGGTAATGACACATGCTAGCGGAAGTACCGGTACTCGGTATCGGCGAGTCCCTATTGCTCGATACCAAAAAAACGGTATCAGTACATCCCTAGCTTATGATGAAAGACAGAGGTGTGCCGGGGACAGTCAGGCTGTGGAGGAAAGAGCTAGATCAGGGCTGAGCAACTGCGGCCCTCCAGCTGTGCTTTAACTAAAGATCCCAACATGCCTCTGGGAGTCATGCTTTCAACTGTCAGTCTTGCAATGCCTCATGGGACTTGTAGTTCCAGAACAGCTAGAGGAACAGAGTTGGCCACCCCTGAGCTAGATGATGCTGGTTGGGGAGATGAATTCCTGCTCTAGACAAGTGAAGTGAAATCTTTTCAATGGGGTACATATGGCAAAAAAAAACTCACAAGGGGATTAGCCCTTCCCTATTCTATTAAAAAAAAATCAGATCAAAAAACAAAAAATATAATTATTGTAAATAATAATAATAAATAATATAGTTCTGGCTTAAGAAATTCTTCAACTGAGAAACCAAATTGAATGCGGTCGCTTTTCCCATAAAATCACAGAGGTTCAATAAGAGGTAGATGTTTCATGGCCCGACCACACAACTTCAAGGACTAGAAGGTAATGGGGGCGTTGTGATATTTCTGGGAAATTAAGAATTGGCCTGTTTTTTGTGTTTTCTTTCCTATAACAATCATTGGCACAAGTGCCATGTTCCCCAGCCACAGCGGTAAAATCCCCGCAGTTAGAAAGCCTTGGCCAAGGACCAGCTAACACTCTCTGACCAATAACCATAATGTAACTTGTCTAAGAAATGATTTGAGGTGCAGCTTCTCTGCAATTTGTGGGTTTCCTCAAATTATGATTCTACACGCAAACTGAGAGGCTCCAATGTTTTTGTGTTCTATTTCATTCATTTAATTTGTATTCGTGTAAAATGTCGTCTTTTTGCAGAATGAAATTGTAACCAGTTTTGTAAAATAAAATTTAAAAAAATCAAGAATTAAATTGGAGTTAGATATTCAGCAAGACCTTTTGATTAAACCGAACTACAGCAATGTTATCTAATCATGGTCCATGTGTTACAAGGTGTATGGGGTGTAGAAAATGATGCTTCAAATAGCATGGCTTCATTGACTTCGCAATTAGGTCACAGCAGTGAGGCCTACAACTCATACAACAGAGGTCTAGCATAGTCATTCATGCATCTCAAAGGCCAACACAGCTGAATGGCCTGTCTGTCAACTCAACAGCCAGCCTGGCCTGCCTGCCAACTCAACGGCTTACCTCCAACTCAATGGCCAGCCAACTTAAGTGCCAGCCCAGCCTGCCTGCCAACTCAACGGCCAGACCAACTCTTACCCCCAACTCAATGCCCAGCCAACTCAAAAGCCAGCCTGGCTCACCGCCAATTCAATGGCCAGCCCAACAAGCCACCAACTCAAAAGGCCAGACTATCCTGCCAACTCAATGGCTTACCCCAACTCAATGCCCGGAAACTGAACAGCCAGCCTGGTTTACCCCCAACTCAATGCCCAGCCAACTCAACAGCCAGCAGGCCCCCCCGCCATATCAATGGCCAGCCCAGCCTGCCTGCCAACTCAACGGCTCGGTCGGCCAACTGAACAGTCAGACCAGCCTGCCAACTCAAGCACCAATCTGGCTCACCCCCAACTCAATGGCCAGCCCGGCCTGCCTTCCAACTCAACAACCCGCCTGGCTTACCCCCCACCCCCCCAATGCCCAGCTCAGATTGCTACCAGCTTAATGGCGGTTATTTTATTGTATACAATGTTAGGACGGGGCATCTAAGAAGAAGGATTACTCTCATCTTCATTTGGTACAACTAATCAGTTCTGCAACTGACACAAAATAACAGTCACGTCACGCGAGCGTTTTCCAGCTATAAAATCCCAGAAGCGTTTTCTTTCAAAAGGAATAGTTTGATAGCAGCCAATGGAAGGTCATAGCAATTGTTTTGGCATTTGTAGCTCAGTCGCCAAGTGATTGACTTTCAGCAGCAATTTCAGCTGACTGCAAAAATCACCATATTCGATATCGACTAGCTAATATCACAATGGCAATTTAAAGCCGCCTAGATACGGGTGGTGACTTCAGAAATATCCTTGTGGCCACCTTCAGAAGATAGTGAGGAAAGTATAAGGATACTACAAACTAAACTTCTAATGTGACATCTCCAACCCAGAGCCTTAGCTAGCTCCTTTTGCACCCGAGGCAAGAACAGAAAATTGTGCCCCCCAACAGACGTGTGCGGTATGTGACATCATGCACCCCGCCTCCAGGATGGTGGAGCGCATGCGCAGAATGCACTGGAGGCCAAATCCAAAATAGCATAAAAATCTGTTTCATTTGACGAAACTAAAGAAAACATTTTTAGTTTCCGTTCATTTCGCCCCAAAACATTTTTTTTGTCTTTGCACATGTCTAATAATGTGTGCGGTTTTTTTCCACTGTTGGGGGGCTTCAGGGAAATATTAGGGGTCTAAATAGGCCCCTGACATTTCCCCTTTGAAATAGAAAAAAAGAGAGTCCTCTGCCCATACAGGAAGGGGAGAGCAGCAGGGATCCGAGGAGAAGCTGGAGCCTGTGCCGCTCCTCTTATCACTGCCGAGCTGGCCGCCTGGCGCCCCTGTTGCCAACTGCCCCGTGCTTGCCCATGGCAACAGGTGCGAGGGGGCACAGCCAGGCCGGCCCTGGCTGTGCCCCCTCTCAGCTGTGCCTGAGGCGAGTGCCTCACTCGCCCCATGGTAGCTACAGCCCTGCTCCAACCCATCAATAATACCAAAGAACTGCCCATCGTTCACCCAGATTGGAATAGTCAGGCGTTCCCCAAAAATCAATATTTAAACCTTCCAGATTACTTTTCTACATTAAATAAAGGGCAAAACCAGACCCTATGGCCCAGGCATGGTGACCGTGAACATGTGTTAGCAAGCGCTAATTTAAAAAAAGTGTGCTACAGGAAACATTTGTTGCTACAGATTCCAGCGCATGCAATGAAGTGTCATACAAGAGCACACCAATTATAAATAGAATGATGAGCCTCAGATATCCAATCCTCCAAAACCATCTGTGACCTCTGATCTGCTTCTAACACACACGCCTGACTCAGACCTCCTGTCATACATCAATCACAGCGAACCAAGGTATAGCGCCAACATATTCTGAGGCACCGGACAATGCAACGGTCAAACAGAACAGTGCAAAAATCAATGGGAAACCAGGCAGGAAGGGTCACCATTGTTCAAGATTAACCTTTAAGCAACATCCTTCAATGCAAAGAAGAGATTCTTAAATGAGGATTGAATACAATAGACAATTCCTGTAGGTCTGATGTAACGTATGGAACTATAAAATAAACACGGGATAACATTCTGCTTAGATAGACAGGTATCTGATAGATCGATAAAAAGGGAACATTAACACGAGAGATAAGAAGATACAAATTATACAAGGGGAGCAGAAAGACTAAATACTGCTGTGACCACATTATATAATCATTTCTGCAGTCTAAGCATTAGGCAAGTAGGGAATCTCCTCTCACTACAGAGACCAGCAGGAGTCACTGGGACTTGTAGTGCCCCCACAGCTGGACAGGCAATTCTAACCTAAGCCGTCTAATGCAGCATAGCAGGGACACTGCAGTGGAAGACTTTTACAGAGGTTATAGAGCCTGCTAACCTCATGTGAGCATGGCCACGCTGGGGCTTGTAGTTCCCCAGCAGCTAACCGTTCTAACAATCTTTTAGATTGTAAGCCCTCACGGGCAGGGCCCTCCTTACCATCTTGTCTTAAATTGTATTGTGACTGTAATGTCTTCCTTATATTGTAAAGCGCTGTGCAAACTATTGGCGCTATATAAATCCTGTATAATAATAATAATAATAATAATCTCAATGCAGAGGCAGCTGTCAGTGTGACTGCAGTCCCTTAAAGCTAGCCCCATCCCCCAGGACAGTTCCCGGACAGCTGACACCACACTGTACAGGTTACAGAGGAAAGTGGAGCTCCTGCTGCCTGTCACCTTCACTCTCAGGGGCAGGCTGACTCTGAAGTCCCCCGACAAGCCCCGCTGATCCTGCAGACCTTTGATCTTGCCCATAAACAGGATGCAGGATCCTGCCCATGTGTGTGCACGGTTTCTGCAGATCTTTCCCTGGGAGCTGGAAGCCTCCTCCAGTAGGGGCTGGTGGGTCTGTAGCTTCTAGATGCCTCCTTCAGCGGGGGGGCTGGCGGACCCCTAGGTTCTAGGTGCCTGCTCTAGAAGATGCTGGTGGATCCCACAGCTTCTGTATGCCCCCTCCAGCAGGGACTAGTGGATCCCCAGTTTCTAGATGTCTCCTCTAGAACACACTGGCAGATCCCCAGCCTCTGAATGCATCTTCCAGCAGGGACTGGTAGATCCCCCCTGCCCTTGGATCTGCCATCTCCCATACACAGGCTACCTGCTCTGCGGCTTCCCATGAGCTGGGTGTCTGCTCCTGCAGAGCTCTTGCAATCGCCCAGAAGCTGCCAATGGATGTAGCATGACATGACGCTGCACTGGAAGATCGCAGAGCCTTGCCGGAGCTGTCATGTCCCTCCTCTCCTCCCCAGCGGCAGGCTTACCTTCTCCTGAGCCCTGGTCAGCTTCTTCTGCACGTTGCTAGCTATCTTCCCCGCAGAGACTCCCTTCCCCAGCTCAGCCATCTTGCCTTCCCTTTAACTGGACGTCAAATAATCAGATCAGAGGCAGCAGGAGGAGAAAAAAAAAACCCTCCTGGCAGAGACAATGGATATACTGCCCCTCCTGGGGGCAGGGACAGCCTTTTAAAGAGAGAGTGCTCAGAGCAGGCAGCAACTCCTTAAAGGGGCAGGCGGAGGAGTGGAGTCACAGGAGGGACATCTGCTCGGGAAGGATCAGAAAGAACTGGATGTAAACATTATGTACCCCTGCCATGGGAGGAAGGAGGATTAACATGGGGGGGAGGGAGGGGGATGGATCTGAAGGAAAACTCTCTGCACACCAACAAATAAACACAAGGCAATAAATATTTGGCATCTAGGTACAGATATTTGTATCTGCATGCCAGGACAGGAGGAGTGTTGTATCATTGTTACATTGTTACATTGTATCTATTTACATTTCCTTTGCTGTGTGTTTGGAATTATTATATTACATAATATTTAAAGTGGATCTGAACCCAAGAATGAAGATTTAATTTATTGCCGCTTAGATGTGGCGACTGCACTCGTTTTATTTCTTTTTTCAGGACTTTTCCCCCATTATTTTCACCCGGTGATCCTGCCAGTAACACACTTCCTGTCCCAGGGTGACAACGCTCACTCACCGTCAGGGCCGGTGCACACCTAGGCGACACTTCACCGCGCGGTTAATCGCGCACGAATCGCCAAGGTGTGTACCGATCGCGCTGTGGGTGCCCTTATTTTTTAATGGCACCCCAGTCGCGCCGGACGGATTGCGCGGGATTCCGCCCGTGCTTCCTAACAACAGCCGCGCGTCGTGTATCGCAAAATAAAAAAGGTACATGTACCTTTTTTCTGAGCTTGCCGCGCAGATGTCACCCCATTGAAGTCAATGGGGCCACGTGGCAATCGCTGCCTGCATTGTGCAGGACCGCGCGATCCCGGATTGTGGAGGTCTGCACCGGGCCTAAGGGCTTTCTCTCTCTCTTTGAGCAACATCTCTTTGATCACTTGCGGGGGTGGGGGGGGGCCTGCCACCTCCTTTCTGACTAGAACTTAGCAACCTGTGATGTTCTGGCCAGCGTCCCGCCCAGCTCCTGGCAACTAGTGACGTCAGTGAGTGGGCGGGACGCCGGACAGTAGACATGTGCGAATCACAAAAAAAATTTGGTGTATAAGCCAAGATGGCGATGCCAATACAAGCATGTGATGTCACACGATGTATGGGGTACTTTGGCTTTTTTTTCTTTAGTGTTCTTTGTATTTGGTGCTTCTTTTTGTGTATATTTGATAAATATTTGTGTACTGTTTTCTCCTCTATAAATAAAGATAAACGAGGGGCTACTTTTGGCCCCAGAACAAGTCCAGGACAGTTGAAGCCCTTCCGTTACCCTCAGGAGCCATTTTAAGCCCATTGTCAGCCTGCAGACCAAAAGTTGATTTCAATGAAATTAGCCGAAATTGGAAAATTTTACCAAAATTTCAAAGAAATGAAAACTCTGGATTTCGCTCATTTGTAGTGTGTTTGTGTCGCGTGAGACGTCGTATATTCCTGGAGCTTTGGGTGGCCAGCTCGACAGCAGGAGAAAAAAAGGAACTCGCCATTCTGTAACAATGAGCCACTTCTTGAGAAAGAGTTTCATTTCTGTAATTCAGACGTCCGGGTTCTGTTTTGGTTTTACTTTTCGTCTTCGGTAATAACTGCCAACCATCCTTCGAGAGTTTCGTCCTCTGACCAAATGTGACCCATCCCCCGTCTCTGCATGTAAGCACCAGCTCTGTGATGGAGATGTGAACCCTCATTTTGTTTATTTGCATTATAAACAATTGTTATTGTTTTTGATAAATCCTTTGTTTTCATACTTTGTTACATCTTGTGCTGCCGATCTCCTGAAGCCACTTCCTGTCTACATACACTCCAACGATGGTTTAATTGACATTTCTCAGGGTGAGTGTCCTAATGGTGACAACACTGGACCACGTCTGTGTAATGTGTGTTTACACAGCCAGTTGTAGCCTCCATTGGAAGCCATTGTGACAACAACAACACAGAATAGAAACTTGGAGACAGAGTCAGAGCGTTGTCACCATTTAACAGGAAGTACCTGATAAAAGATCTCAATAGAAGGATCACCAGGTATTACTGTATAAAGTGTCTCCTTAAACTGCATTACAATGTTAAAGCTTCAAGGATATCCTTATTATCCCCCTTGCAGTGTGGAGGAGGGCCTGGGCACTGCAAGAGTTGATTTTGCCTAATTCCTGAAGTTCCAAACTGCAACACACCGACACAGTCCACATGCGTTGTGCTGCACTGCGTTGTAGGAGCGGGACCAATCATTTTTGTGAATTGGCAGCTCATTTATTTTCAGTGTGCTGCCTAACACAATGCATTTTAAAGCACCAAAATACATACATGGTAGCGCACTGGATGATGGTGTGAGGGGGCCCTTTAAGGGTTCATACATGTTAGAAACATGCAGACTGTTTTACCGGGCCTTAAAGGCACAGTCTACATTTTGCAACAAATTAATAGATGCACCCATATTGCAAAAATAATATATATATATATATATATATATAGTGATATTTGGGGAATTCAGCACATATGGTGAGCGCCATGGGGACCAGTCTTGAAGGCCTTTTAACATAAACAGGACAGAGTAGGAATGCACCGATACTAGTATCGGTATCGGTGCCGATACCGAGTATTTGGGCGAGTTCTCATACTTGCCCAAATGCTCCAATGCCTAGCCCGATACTTCCTGTATCAGGAAGCCGGCAGCACGTCATTACACGCTACCCGGTTTCCTGATAGGCCGGGAGGCGGCTCCATGCTCTCTCGTCAACTGGCTTCCTGAATGGGTCTTCCCTTACTCGGTAATTGGTATCGGCGAGTACCGGGAAAAAATTATCGTTACTCGTGCTCGGTACCAAAATACCGGTATCGGTGCATCCCTAGGACAGAGTTTTATTTCTTTCATCAACACAACATAAAGTCTGCTTATATTTCAGCAAGTAGATAATGTCTCACCGACCAAAGATTGTCGCACATACTCCATGCGTAACTGGCTCTTTAAAGCTGGCCATACACCTTACAATTATCTGCAGATTTTCTGTGGTCAGATGGAGAAGGTGCAACAGATTCCTCCATCTACACTAAGCTGTGTGTATGGAAGAATCTCCCGCTGGGCCGAGCTTCAGTATCTTGCTAGTCGGCCCCGCTGGCTCTCAAAACACCTGAACAATGCCTGCGTCCAATCAGATTGTTCAGGTATTTTGAGAGCCAGCGGGGCCGACTAGCAAGATACTGAAGCTCGGCCCAGCTAGTTTGTGTCCTCCCCTTACCCTTCGGAGAACTATGGGGAAAAACACTGACCCCATAGTTCTCCTTTAAGCCTCCTCGGCTATCTTCCCTGTGCCTCTAGCACACACAGCCACCTGGCTCCCCTCTGACCTCTGACCTCTGACCTCTGGGTGGAGACCTCCTGACTCCTGAACACCTCTGTTCCTCTTCCCAGCTGGAGCCCAGAACACCAGCCAGCACCCTTCCCATAAGGTCTGTTCACAGGTGTGCAATCATTAGGTGCTGGCCACTACTAAGCAATGGCCCCAGGAATGTGTACGGAGGACAGGTAGTACACCGGCAGAGGGGAAGGAGCGTTCAGCCAAAGGTAAGTAGGGGGGGGGGATGTTTAGAGGGAGCCAGATTGGAGGGGGGAAGTGGAATTACCCTTTAAATGGGAGCATTTGGGAAATGTCTCATTGTTATTCTATCGGAAGGTTTGGTGAGCACCGTATGATCTATAACAAGGACGGCACGGATGGACAACCCATAGCCTGGTTCCTGGCTTCCATGTTTTTGTCACGTGCGGTCTGATGTGCGAGTCTCAGGCAGACCGGGGCGGCATGCTCATGTCTCACACACAGGATTTCGGAGCAGTCAATGGAAGTTCGGTGACGTCACACAGGAAGGAGCTGCGACCTGAATGGAAGCCGCACACTGTACGTGGAAACTGAGAAGGAAATGGGAATCTGGAGCATCTGAGGCCGACTAGGGACGACCTCCGGGACACAGGACTCCGACTCTGAACCCGGAACACAGAGACCGCGGAAGAAGAGACGCCCGCCGATGACCGAACTATCTGATGATTGCTATTAGAACTTTCCAGAACTTTACAAGTCTGCATGAGTACATATCAGACACAGAACAATATACAACAACAGTGTCATGAGTCACAACTCCCACTAGATAGCCTCTGTGAGACTTTACCTAGGCTGAGATGATGTCATCAGTCTGCTGCATGCAGGAGGACGCATTTTTTCAGTCTCCCCTCCCCCAGTGATCAGTCTGCTGCAGGCAGTAGGAAGCATCAGACATTTGTGAACAATGTGGACTTGCATGACTGTGTCATCTCTGAGCCGCCATCTCAGTCGTAGATGGTGACCCTGGGTGATGCCTGAACAAAGATGGCGCCGTCCTTCTGGAGAGGAAAGCAAATAACATCATTGTCAGGGGGAGTTATGTGATCTCTGGGAGAGGTAATAAATACCTGGAAGTGTTACATGGACACATTATACCGCCAGATCAGTAGAGCCGGAGATATCAGCAGTGGAAGTTATATCCAGATCTCATCAGATGTAATTAGATCTTCCCTTTCAAGTCTTCCTACAGGTGGGTTGTATTACCTGGAGGGTATGGGTGCCTATTATAGAGGGGCCGTAAGGAGGATAGGGGTGCCTAGTATGGAGGGGCAGTAAGGAGGATAGGGGTGCCTAGTAAAGAGGGGCAGTAATGTGGATAGGGTGGATAGGGGTGCCTAGTAAAGAGGGTAGTAAGGAGGATACGGGTGCCTAATATGGGGGGGGGGGGGGGGGGGGGGGGGGGGGGTTGACTAGTAAAGAGGGGCAGTAAGGAGGGGAGGGGTGCTTAGTAAAGGGGGCAGTAAGGAGAATAGAGGGGCCTAGTAAAGAGGGGCAGTAAGGAGGGTAGGGGTGCTTAGTAAAGGGGGCAGTAAGGAGGATAGGGGTGACTAGTAAAGGGGGGCAGTATGGAGGGGAGGGGTGCCTAGTATGGGGGGGCAGTAAGAAGGATAGGGGTGACTAGTAA